TAATGTTGAAAGTAAAGGTAATTATGCTTAGAAATATCAATCAAAAAATAGAAAAATAACTTCCAATAGACCAGATTTTATGTTACCTGATAATAGTATTCAAACATCTAAATACACTTTGTTAAATTTTTTTCCAAAATAATTATTTGAGTAATTTTCAAAGCTCGCTAATGTTTATTTTGTTGTATGTCATTATTTTTATCTATTAGTTAATGGGAGCACTTTAAATGGTTCCAGAAGTTTCAATCAGTTCTGGAATTCCAACAATATATTTACCATTAGGTTTTATTATTTTAGTAAGTGGAGCAAAGGATTTCTATGAAGATTACAAGAGAAGAAAATCAGATATAGAAGAAAACAAGTAACAAGTGACAGCATTTGATGGAACTAGTTTTGTTAAAATAGCTTCATTTAATTTAAGAGTAGGTCATATAGTGAAGGTTCATTAAGATGAAATAATACCAGCAGATATGTTACTTTTGAGATCAAGTGAGAAGAAAGGAATTTGTTATGTTGAAACTAAATCATTAGATGGGGAAACAAATTTAAAATAAAAAAATGTACATGCCGATTTATTATAAATATTCAAATCTGATGATTGTTTTGGTTAATTAGATAAAAGAATAGTTTTAAAATACTAAGCACCTACTCCATATTTATATAAGTTTATTGGAGAAACAACAACATCTAATATATAAGTTTCATCAATAAATTTTAATAATTTTTTATTAAGAGGATGTAATTTAAGAAATGTGAAATATATTTTTGGATTAGTAGCTTACACTGGACATGATACAAAAATAATGATGAATTCATTTAAAGCAAGAACAAAAAGAAGTAAATTAGAAGTATTGATGTAAAAATTCATACTGATGATATTCATTATACAATTTATAATGTGTGTAATAGCATCTCTTGTTTATTCAATTTATTATTATAATAATAGAATGACATTAACATATCTATATATAGATGTTAATACATCAGAATATACTATTCCATATAATTTTTTTGTTAGATTTGGAAATTGGATGCTTATTTTTAATAATTTTGTACCAATTTCTTTGTTAGTTACTTTAGAAATGGTTAAATTCATATAAGGAAAAATAATGAGTTTAGATGAGAAATTAAATTAACCAAGAGTTTAGACTTCAAATTTAAATGAAGAACTTGGATAGATAGAACATATTTTTAGTGATAAAACTGGAACTTTAACATGTAATATAATGGAATTTAAATAAATTATAATGTAATATAATATAAATTCAATATAGAGGTAATTAAAATTATGGGGACATTTTAAAAAGTTCAGAAGAATATATAACAGATGATGAATTATAGAATTTCCCTTTAGTTAGTAATGTGGATTTTAGAGATAAAACACTTATTGAAGCTATTTAAGATAAAAATCATGTGATGCATGAAAAAGTAGTGGAATGTTTAATGATGATAGCTATTTGTCATACTGTTATATCTGAATAAAGAGATGGAAAATTAATGTATAATGCTACATCTCCAGATGAATTAGCATTATTAAATTTTGCTAGATTTGTTGGATTTGAATTTTTAGGAACTGATGAAAATAATATAAAAAGAGTAAGTTTTTAAGATTAAATAATTGAATATTAATTATTAGAAATATTTGAATTTACATCATAAAGAAAGAGATAATCAATTTTAGTATAAGTAATAAAGACAGGAGAAATATATTTATTTTCTAAAGGAGCAGACTCTGTATTATTAGATTATGTAAGATTATCAAATGAAGAGTTAAATAAAAATGAATATCATTAGTTAGTTTAAAGACTTGAAGAATATGGTAAAATAGGTTTAAGAACATTGGTATTATCAAAAAGAAAATTAGAGAAATAAGAGTATTAAGAATGGCATAAACGTTATTAATAAGCAACATAACTTATAGAAAATAGAGAAGAGAAAATGTAGGTTTTATAAGATGAATTAGAAAAAAACTATGAAATATTAGGAGCAACAGCTATAGAAGACAAATTATAATAAGATGTAGCTGATACAATAGCTGCTATTAAAGCAGCTGGTATAAAAGTATGGGTTTTAACAGGAGATAAAATAGAGACTGCAATTAATATTGGTTACTCTTGTTCTTTATTAACTAATTAATTAATGTAGCATATTGTTGATGAAAAAGAAGAAGCTTTGATAAAGGAAAGATTAGATGATATATTGAATAAGATTGGATCTTAAGATTTGAACTAAAGATAGGCTTTAATTATATCTGGAGATGCACTTTTACATGCATTAAAACCAGATATTCAAAAAAAGGTTTCTGAAATAGGAAAATGTTGTGAAGTAGTATTATGTTGTCGTGTTAGTCCAAAATAGAAATAAGATGTTGTTACATTAATTAGAAATTAAAATTAATCTTGTTCAACTTTAGCTATAGGAGATGGAGCTAATGATGTTAATATGATAACAGCTGCTCATGTTGGTGTTGGTATTAGAGGTGTTGAAGGATAATAAGCAGCAAGAGCAGCTGATTATAGTGTATAGGAATTTAGAGAATTAAGAAGGTTGTTATTTTATCATGGTAGAGAATGTTATCGTAGAAATAGTGTTTTGGTTTGTTATACATTTTATAAAAATATTTTAGTTGTTTTACCTCAATTTTGGTATGGAATTCTCTCTATGTATTCTGCTTAATCTCTTTATGACACTTTTATATATTAATTATTTAATATTTTATATGGAGCATTACCTATTATGATTTATGGAATATTTGATGAAGAATATGATGCTGATTAATTGACTGACAATAAACTTTAAAACTATTATCAATAAGGTCCTAAAGGTCTCTTATTTAATATTTAAATTGTATTATTTTGGATATTTTGTGGATTTTGGTAAACAGCTATTGTATGTTTCTTTCCAACTTATTCTATATCAGAAAACTTTGTAGATGATAATGGTTTTACTCATCATTTATGGGCTTAAGGAACTATGATATTTGGAATGGTAGTTGTAGTATGTAATCTTAAAATATTGATATTCTCTAATACATACACTCCTGCCTTATTAGTAATTTTTGATTACTTATTTATTAGGGAAGTATTGCTTTTAGTATGATATCATATTTGCTATCATGGATAATATTAGACAATTTACCATCAGCAGAAGCATATGTAGTATTTGAATCGTATATTATAAATTTTATAATTAGATTATTCTAAACACCAAATTTTCATTTTGGAAATATTCTAGTAATTGCAGCTATAAGTAGCATTGATATTGCATTGAATATTAAATTAAATAGAGTTTTATCTAAAGTTAACAAGAATATGTCTTTAAGATTACCAAACCTATCAACAAATGTATAGCCATAACCATAAAAACCATCTGGATAAGTTGCTAATCAAAAACATACTGGATTTGCTTTCAATTGTTTAGATAGAGATGAATTAGAAAACTAAGACAAAATGGATTTATATGGAATAGATAATTAAGTTGAGTCTTAGAATGGATGACAGTTTTGTTTTTATTGTGATTTATATTATTGAATCAAACATTAATGAATGTTCTAAAATCTAAACCATTTCCACTGTATAAGTATGGTGCAATAAATGAATTATCAGCAACCTTTACATGATATCCAAAATCTGTTGGATTTCCAAAAACTAATGTATTGGTAAATTAAGTATCTTGAGCAAGTCTTAAATAACAATAATCATAAATAATTACTTGATTTAACCTGGTTAAACATTTTCTATTCTACTAATAATACGATTTTATTCAAAAACAACTTCATATGTATTATCAGTATTTTTGAGCACTTGTCTAACAAATGGTATAGCTCTTTTTGCCTTAGTTTATTAAAGACATTTATTACTTATCCCTATTTAGCTAAATAGAAAAATGCTGCTGCAACTACTGGAACTGTTACAATTGTTGAGTAATAAGCATCACCTCTATAGAATAAATAGAGGAAATAACCAGCAAATACTCCTGCTAATATTTAATATCTTAAAACATGATGTTCTTATGCTTATGATTCATAAACCAATTTTTATCCTTTTTCATTAAATCTATTTTATGCAAATCCTGATTAATATTCTTTTTCATATAATTCTTATAAGAATAATTTGTAATCATGTCCATCTACATTTCTAGCATATTCTTAATCTTCAGCAGAAAATTATTTTGTTGCTTTATCTACAGTTTGAATAAATAATTATTTCTCTTGAGTTTGTTAATCTAATTTTTGTGCTACTTCAACTTCTGTTCCTTAAAGAGAGTCTATGAATGATTTAATCAAACCAACATATCTAAATTAGAAAATATATATAACCTTCCTTAATTGAATTAGTAATTTTCGAAGATTGATTCAAGTGATTATGATAATTAAGCTGCTAATTATGGATCCTTAACTTCTGCCTATATTTTTTTTATGGATGCTGTTGTTCTTTGTCTGTAAATTGTTTCCAATTGTTAAACATAACCTCTAAAATATTATATAATCTCTACGGTGAGACTAAATTATCATAATGAATTCCTTCTAAATATATGCTAAACAATTCTTAGGCAGCCTATTTTCTTGCATCATTTGTAAGTTTTGTTATTTCTGGAATTTTATATTCGAGGGATTGTGCAAATTAAGCTAGTGTTTCATGACTTTGTTAAGTTTATCTGAATAATAATTCTAATTTTTCAACATGTATCTATGAATATTTAAAATATTGAATTACTTTATAATCATTAGGATTTGGGAAATTTTAAGGTCTTAGTAATTGACTTAATTAATATATTCCAGATAAAGTTGATAATTGTGGAACTGACAATCCATATTTATTTGACACTTATTAGAATTAAGTTATTTAAGCTTATTAAGCTGATGGATTTGTAGCCTCTCTTAAACATACATACTCTCTCAAGTATCGTAAACGAGTAGGAGTGCATCTATTAGAGATTCCAAATACCCTTCTGAACATGTTTAAGATATTTAATTTAATAAATAATTGGATATTTAAGTTGGCAAATTTATATATTAATCATTTATTACTAGCACTGTTTCCACTACTTTAATTCATAATTGATGGATTGTCTTAAGAAACATTAGGATTTTAATTAATGACTGGTTGATTGGATTGAATAGATTTCTTACTTGCTCCCAATCCTTAAATCATATCACTAGGTTTGAGAGTCAGTCTCTTAGGCTATTTTGTCATTTGACTATTTCGAGACTAACTGCTTCTTGTAGCTCCTCCACCTACACCTTAATTACTAGCACTTTTATCATCCTAAATATTTCCTACTGATCCATTTGGATTAATAAGATGCTTTTTAAAATCCTTTGTATATTATTACATAACTTAAAAAGAATAATATAAAATATATACCATCCTCATCTGGTTCTTCCTCTTCCTCTTTTGAACTTCTTTCTGAATCATTTACTATTGGTGTTTCTTAATTAATATAAATTTCTTCCTTATATATTTCTGTATTTGGAAGTGTTAGATATTTTGTTCTACCATAATCTGGTCTTTTTGGATGTTCAGTATCCTTTGAATTTCTTGATAGTATCTCTATTTTATTATCAAATGAGGAATCAGAACTAAAACCATCACTATAATGTTCTTATTCTTATTCAAGTAATAATTAAGCTTATAATTCTTTTTATTATTTCTTCTTCTCTCCATAACGTCTTAAAGTTTTAAAAGCCATATGTACAAATAAGAATTGTACAATAGGATTAACCAAAGTTACTTCCTTTGATTGAACACCTACCTATTTCTTTTTTAATCTTTTCTATGTCTCATCTTCTTTTTATAGAATTTTCTCAGCTCCTTCTGGACTTAAATTAATCTATACTTTCTTCCACATATAAGATTTCATAACTGAAAATAATATCTAATGATATTTGACTTAACCTGTGATATCAGAATAAATATTCATTTTCATGATTTAAGTAGAAACATCTCTTTTGGCTTTAGCTTTGAGAATTTAAGTTTGCTTTAAAACATTTTCTTTTGTATCTAATGAAGGATTGATTCTTCTCCATTCACTAATTTCATCATTTAATTTCTATTTTAAATCATAACCTATAGGTTTCTCCATATCAAGTAATAATGGTACTAATAATTATTGATTCATTTTCATTCCTTTGTCTTCCTTAGCAAATTTAGACCAAGATTCAATAAACATATTTTCATACTCTTAAAATTTATTTAAAGGATTATCACTATTGAAATAATTGATTTCATATTGATCCAAAATGATCAAAATAAATAAATTCAACATAATGTATTACTAAATTACAATAAAAACAATGAAGAATATACAATAGTAACCTTAGCCATCTTACATAGTATCAAACATAACTTTATACCAATCCTCTCCAGTTGCACATCTAAATAATAGTTCAAATGAATGATGAAAATCAGAAAAATTATTCACATCATCTATTGCCCATCCACTTCTAATTGAGCCAAAGAGAAATACACCTAGAATAGAGAAGATGAAAAAAACGAGAAATAATAAAGCTGTTACATTTAACATAGCAGGTAATGAATAAATTGCTGTTTCTATTAGTTTCTACAATCCTTCAAATGATTTAATCAATCTAAATAATCTTGTTACTCTAAGTACTCTAAATACTCTTGCTAATTATGGTCCAGCACTCAAAAATGAAATAAATGAATTTCCAGTAAATTGTAATATCAAATCTAAAATGGATGCACAAACAACAAAAAAATCAAATTGATTCCATTAATTTCTCATATATCCTACTGGTCCTAATGCAATAATCTTTAAAATTGCTTCAGTTATAAATACAAAAGTGAATGCAGTATTTAGTTATTACAAAACATTATCATATTCAATAGGAGAATCATCTTAAGATAATCCCATAGTTACTATATTACATACAATAATCATTAAAATTGTTGGATCAAAATATCTATGTTTAATAATAGTAAACACTTTAGCTCTAAAAGGATTTTCAGGACTAAAAAACATAGCTAAATTTGGATTAGCATGTACAATCAATTTTTATAATTCAATCCAATCTACTTATGGTTGTGTTAAAATTTTATCTCTTGAAGCTTCTTCTGCTAAATGATAATTAACCAATATAACACCAATAAATAGATTCATCAATAATATTGAACCAATTAAAATAAATACAATAAAATACCAAGAAAATTATAATTAAGCTCCCTTAATTGGTCCTGATTCATCTGCATCAATAAACCAATACATTATATCTGGCCAACCTTCCAATGTTGATAATATAAATAATGTTAACATTCCATTCAAAATATTATCAAAATTAACTTTTCTATTTGTCCAAACACCACCATTTTGTTCACATTCAATTGGACCATAATGATAATAAACTTCATCATCTCCCATATCACAATAATTCATTTTATTTTTCTATAAATTTATACCTAAAATTGCAAACATCATCCAAACTAAAATTACAACTATGGCCACATTAAATATACCATTAATTGATTATAATAATGCTGATACTAAAATTTTCATTGATCTATTATGAGTAATAAATCTTAATGGTCTTAATGTTCTAAGTAATCTTAAAATTTTCACAAAACTTAGATTGATTGTTGAAACACTTACATCAATAAATGATGCTATAACAATAAAGAAATCTAATATATTCCATGATTCCCTTAAATATGAACTCTCTTGTTATACAAATCCAAAAGCAATTATTTTCATTAACATTTCAACTCCAAAAAATACAGCAAAAAAAATATCAATTTATAATGATACTTCTTTTAATTATCCACTATCTGGAATATAAGTATCAAACACTAATTTAGTTGATGTGAGAAATATCATAAAGAAAATAAGTGTTTCAAATTTATCATCCTTAACTATCCTATAACATATTCTTCTAATAATATTGTCTTGAGTAAAAATGTACAATGAAAATTAACAGAGTCCAGGTTCAACAAAATATTAGAATACTTACTATAATTATTTATTTTTCTTAGATTCTGGATCTCCATTATTCTCTAATTGTTAAGCAACAGTATGTTTTTTTGTTTTCATTGTTGATTTCAAAGTACTAGTTGAATTTACAGCTTAAGTTGTATTGTCCATAATAGAATCTTGTCCAATTTCAATATTAGTGTCTAAACCTGCTTTATCATTCTTATATTCCTCTTCAAAATTTTCTAATAAAATAGCCAAAAACAAATTTAAAAAGACATAATTACCTATCATAATCCAAAATACTAAATATGGAACTGTAATAAATGCAGAAACATCTTAAATCAATAAATCCCACAAAATGCTATTCCAATTCTCTAATGTGAGTACTTAAAATACTACCAAAAAGGCACTTTAAATATCATCATAACTCTATCTACTAGGAGTTTTAGATAATTATCCTCCAAAAAAAGCCATTCCTAATAATGTAAAAATAAACATAAATAGTAAAAGCAAAATCATTATATACATAAATGATTAAAATGCATTTCCCAATACTTTTATTAAGAATCCCATAAATTGTAAACTTCTCATCAATTTTGTTACTCTCAACACTCTAAACGCTCTGAATATTCTTACAGATCTAAAAGCAGACAATGAAGATTTTCCACTTGTTCCTCCTAAGAAAAATAATTCAACTAAACTCAAAGCTACTATTACAGCATCAAATATATTCATAGTATCAGATATATAATTTTTTGGTCCCATTCCTATTACTTTTAATCCTAATTCTATTGTAAATAATATAGTGAATCCTAAATTAAACTAAGTTAAAGTATTTGAACTACTATCTGGTAGTAGACCATCTAGAGCTAAAATAACAGTGTTTATTGCAACAGCTAAATTCATTGCAGCTTCAAAATAACTAGATTAAACAAAATATAATAAATGATTTTAACATACTCTTAAAAATCCAACAAATCCTTATAAATAAATAAAAGTTTCTCTTTTTGAGTAATTTAAAGCTTTCATTACTGAATTCATTTATTTTGCAAATTTTTAATCATAAAAAGTATAATCAGCAATTAATAAAACATCTTCAATAGATGCTTATGCAGTAATAGCTCCTTTGCTTTCTCCAATATCTTTTTATTTAATATCTTAATATTCTTAATAGAAAACTCCCTTTTACTATTCAAGTTCCCAAGCAGGAATTAGTGTTAATTCTTATTAATTAAATTATTTTTCAATTTCAACTGAATGAACTCTATTTAAATCAACTATGCAATCAGAACTTTCCATAAATTTTTCACCCATTTATTAAAAATCTAATTTATCATTATCCTCTTATTCTTTTTTTTTCTTTTTTATTTTAATTTTTTAACTTGCACTTCCATTAAAATTATTATTTTTTTCATTATTTACATCTTCAGGTTCATCATCAGAATCTGAATTTTCATTGCCATTTTCTTAATTTTAATCATCTTAATTCTCAAAATTCTTATCTGTTGGAAATTATAGATCTTCAAATGGATGTAATTCATCCATTATTGGTTATACTCTTCTTAAACTTAAATTATTTTTCTTAGATTTCATTCCAGATTTTATATAACCAGATTTAGTCATACTTTTAATTTTACCAGAACTTGATTTTTTTAATTCTAATGATTATTTAGAATTTTTGAAACAATAAGTAATTTTAATATCCATTTCTTTAATTTTCTATTCTTATTCTAATTTTTCTTTTTCTAATTATAATAACATTTTAGAAACTAAAACATCATTTATACTACAAAATTCTTAATCAATTATTATAATTGGATAAAATTTAGTATTGAATAATTTAGATTTCAATTTTAAAGATGCATCATCTAAATGTTATTAAGCATTTTTATTTAAATCTCTTAATCTTCTATTTTCCATTCTTTTTTATCTATTCAATTCTTTTAAATTTTATTTCTTTTTATTTTCACTTTCTGAATCTCCATTCTTATCTTAAACAAATATATCCATTTCCTCTAATCTTCTATCAAGATCATCATCTGATATTGTATTCAACTCACTTAAATTTACACTATCAAATTCATTCTAATCTAATGACTTTTATGAATCAGGTTTTGGTGAATTTCTTGGAGGTTTCTAATATTTCATACCTGCTACTAAACTAAACTTTTAATTAGATTTCACATTCTAAGACTATTGTCTAACTATACATATTAATTAATTTAAATACTCTCTCCTAATTTAGGTATTTCTAAATGATTATTAATTGGAGTTTTATCTTATCTTGATCCACCACTCTTACTACTATCCATAGATCCTCGATGATGAACAAGCATAGTGCCACCATTTAATGGTCTAATATTTTCATTTTATAAATCCATCATTGGAGAATTCAGAAATTCTGAACTTATTGGTTGATCTCCAAATTACATACTTTTTCTTGGGATAAGTCTTGTTGGTCTACTTAAACTTTCATTTTCATTATTGTTATTATTACTATTATTCTTATCATCTTTTTTAGAAGAAGTTCTTTCATCATTATTACTACTTTGACTACTTCTTCTTATCATACTTGATCTATTGTTATTATTATTTTAGCCAGTTCCTAAATTTTATTAATTCAATTTACTCTAATTACCCATACCATATATTCCTTCAATTTTTAATTATTTATTTTTCAATACAATAGGATTACTATAATATACTGCAGATTTAATTGGTTGAAAACTTACTTTATTTTTTCCTCTCAATTTTTTCATATTAGTTTATCTAATCATATCTAGTTATGATGCCCCTCCTCTTGAATTCTTCCTTCGATTCATAATTGCATTCTAATCAAAATCATGATGTTTATCCCATGTTATACCATAACCTTCAGTATCTACTTTTGGTCTTTCTGGCTCATATAACTTTAATTATCTAAGTTATCTATAATCATATTCTTCTATCTCTTCTTTAATTTAAGCTAATTCTTCTTGAATTTTTTCAGGTTTAAAATTTAATTTGATAATAGCTAATGTAAGATTTACCAAAAAGAATGCTCCAACAATAACAACAATTATAAAATATAAAACTACTATTTAAGAAAAAGTGAGCATTACTGCAGTTTAAATTTAAGTCCATCCTTCTAATGTTGTTATAATGAAAACTTATAAAAAGGAGTATCCAAATGTATCAAAATTAACCAAATCATTCTAAGGATTAGCTATTTATTTTCCACAAATGAAATTCTCATTATATATAGTATCCTCTGGAAATGGACAATTATTATCATCAGCACAAAATAAAATTTCCTCAGAAATCCATGTAATTCCACTCATTTCACCTATACATCTTCTTTTTAAATATCCAGAAAATAAAGAGACTCCTGCAATTGCAAATATTGAATAAAAGAATATTAGAACCACAACAGCATCTCTCAATTAAGCTATTGATGCAAATAATGCTAACAAAATTGTTCTTAGAGCCTTTATTGAAGAAACAGTTCTTAAAGGTCTCAACACTCTAAAAGATCTCAAAGCATTCAGATTAACTGAATTTGATGCCAAAAAATAAGGAATATAGGCAGTTACAATTACAGAAAAATCTAAGATGTTCCATGTGTCTTTCAAATAAGCTTTTTTAGGAAATATAAATCCCTGAATAATTATAACATTTTACCAATGCTACTATTTTCAATACTGCTTCAGCTGTGTAATAGGCTAAAAAAATGATATCTGTTAAATCTTAAAAGGATGTTTAATCATTTGTAGTTGGATCATCAATAGCAATCATTGCTGAGTTGAAAATGATCATTAACAATGTCATAAATTCAAATAATGGATGTGTAGTAATTATTTAGGCATAAGATGATATCAGTTTTGTAAATATTAAAATCTATTTTCTAATAGCTAACAGGGGATATCTAATTAATAAACATCTCTATTACTTGTCACTATAAATTTATGCCAATTATAATTCATTTTTAGGAATAAGTTTAATATAAGTATTGACTTTCACCTTTGTTTCTGCATATGTTTATCCAAATTCTTCTTCTAAGTCTTCTAAAATTTCTTATTTCTGATTCTCATTCATTACAGCAAAACTTTATTCCTCCTGTTAATTCACAGTAGATTGTCCATCATGCAAAAGTTCCTAAACCTTTTTCAAAATTTCTCTATTCTACTTTTATACATATTCTCCGTATTTCTAAACTTAATTTAATCAATACCCCATCTTCACTAAAAGAGTCTCTATCTTCAAAGAATATTTCCTTATCCTAAATTGCAGATAAACGCTATTTTAAAGTCGCAGTTACTGCTTCTTCTTTTGACATATATATATATTAATTATTATAATGAATTATCAAATAAGAAATTCTTTAAATCAAATTTTTCTTAATTCTTCTCAACGTAATATTAAAATTTCCTATATTTATCTATTCAATCCAAAAGCAATAGTATAATCTAAACTATTTGTCATAATTAGATAGTAATATAAATTATATTAACTAGTTATTCACTAATTCTATTGAATATCATTATTATTAAAAATTATATTATTTCTTTAATATAAACTCTTCGTTTAACATTAATATTCTAATTGAATAAAGTAATATACTATTATATTCATTGATATGAAAATCAAAAGTTATTTTTAATTTGTAAAATACATTATTTAGTATATTATAAAATGATTATTCTACTTATTTTTAATCAATTATTGAAATTATAAATTTAGATCTTTAAGATGATATTTCAATAGAAATAATTAATTTAAAAGATAGTGACTAAAGAAATAATAATAATAATAAAAATTGAGAAAAGTATGTTTCATTATTTTTATAATTGCTGTGCAGCACATATAGGACAAGGCTTATTTTAGATACAATTTAAGTGAAATTAATGTTTACATGCTTCAAATCGTTTGGTTTAATCTAGTTATTCATATTATTAATTGCAAATAGAACATTTTATACCATCTTCTGATTGTAGTGTTGATAAATTGTCTATATCTAGAAAGTCTTATTGATTCTAATTCGATTAATTATCTATCTCATCATTACTTATAATCTCCTAATTTGTTTTATTTGCATTTTTATCATCCAAAAATTTATTCTATTTCTTTTGATATGAAGTCTTATAATTAGTAAATCCAGTTTTCTTATCTTTTTTGATGACAGTTCTTTTATAAGTACCTCCTGTTGTATAATCACTTCGTACAATTTCTTAATCAAATTCATCTTAAACTTCATCTGTATTTTATTTATTTACATATATTTCTTATGAAGTTTAAAAAATCAATGTACTCATATCCATCTAATTTTCATTATTTTTTTATAATTATTTCTCTCTTTAACATTCATCTTGATGTTCATAATAAATATCTATTGTAAAATACTATTCACAAGAATCACATTATTTCACCATCTTAAAACCAATTGATTATGAATTTGATAAAGTGTTATTGTTTTATATATTATTCTCTTAACTAATAATGGGAGATGAAGATTAATTTATTGTATTTTAATCATTATTAAGAATAGGTTTTGTATTTTTGTGAACTTAATTGCAGTTGGGTTAGTCTATTAAGAATTACTTTTAACAAATTTCATAATGTTCATATAATTTGGAGTTGGGAACCTCAATATTACACCTCTTGCATCTTAGAGGTTTACTCTATGATTATTAGGATTATTAGGACAACATATTAATAGATGAGTATTTTAATAATTATTATTTAATGGGCAATCATAATTAAAAGGAGCGGCTCTTAAGATATATTGACCAGATGAAAATTGAAAAAATTCAATCTGTCTTAGAAAAGTCACCCAATTTAATTAATGAAGACATTGCTTAAGATATTCTATAAACTCCTTTAGCAAGAGCAGCTTGGAGAAATGATATGACACTAGTTTAATTATTTTTAGATGTAGATTTCATTTCATAATAAAATTAGATAGGAGCTAATCCAAATGATGGAGGTTCTTCTAGTATCACTCCTCTTATGTGGGCTTGCAAAAGAGATAATCAAAAATTAGTTTCTCTATTAATTTAATCTGGTTCTGATATCACTATACGTTCAAATCAAGGATTTTCAGCTTTGGATTATGCTATTCTACATGGAAATTATAGACCTGCTTTATTTCTTTTTGAATTCATACAAGAAACTCTCGAGTTCACTTCTTATTATCAATTCGCCAAAGATAATGATTACAGATATGTAAATTATGAAATAATGATAACACATTTACGTTTGAGAACAAAATATGAACTTATTCCAAATATCTATGAAAAACCTAAAAAATAATAATTGTTAGATCCTGTCATTGACCCAAGAGAAACATGGGGAGATTTTATATATAGATAGATTGAGTTTAAGAATCCTCCTTTAGTCGAAAGAAATGAATTACCATTAGATCTCTAACCTTAAAATAGAATGATAGGTAAAATTAGATAACAGTTAAATGGATTACCTGTAGAAATGAGTAAATCTCAATAATATAGATAGATTAGTCCATAGGTAATAAGATTTATTTAATTATATTTAAGAATTAAAAGAATGACTAGTCAAACAATCATACCTAACATTAAATTTCATTTTCATGATTATTAATTTATGTTATAATTGTTTATTATTTTTATATTTACATCTAAAAAATGAAAGAGGATATAAATCAACTTCTGAAATAATAGAATTATTATGACATATTAGGTGTTTAGAAAAATGCAAGTGATGATGAACTTAAGAAAGCATATAGAAAATTAGCATTGAAATATCATCCAGATAAAAATAATGATGAAAATGCACAAGAAGTTTTCAAAAAGATTTCAGAAGCTTATTCAACTTTGTCATCTCCTGAAAAAAGAGAGAGTTACACTTATTAACAATAGAAACCATAAGCTCATCCTCATTAAAACAAATATTATAGACATTTCTAACCAGATGAAGAATTTGAACTATTTGCATAAGTAATATATTTATTATATTAATGGAAACAAGAGTTTAAAAAGATAGTTTCAAAGACGTGCAGCAAGAAATGAGACAAAAGAAACAACAAAAAAATCTTAACATAATGCACATTATGCTAAATTATTGAATAGCATAATTAAATTAATTCTCTTATTAACATTCCTTTATTTTGCATCTTAGGCTTTCTAATTTCCTTTTAAGAAATAACCTTTATATTAATTTTAAAAGAGTTTGCAATATTCAGTGTAGAGGACTTCAAATAAATTACAAGTATAAACTTAATAAATGAGGTTAAATACTTTGTAGGGGATCAATTTAAGAAAGAAAAATTCTCGTAAGAAAAACTTCTTAAATTTGATTATGATGTTGAAAAGAATTATGTAAATTAATTGAAAAGATAATGCGATGCAACTAGTTTAAAACAATAAAATTATATGAGATTAATAAACAAATCAGTTTATACAAGTGAAATAAAAAGATATTAAAAAGCAATTGATTAATTGGATTGGAGTTCATGTGATGTAATTAAAAGCTTAAAGTTGAATTTTGAAAAATTTGACATTTATTTTTGACTCTATTAAGATCAAATGATATTTCAAATAAAATATATTCTTATAAAATTCAAAAACTTTTTTATTATTATTTTCATTTATTTATAAATTTATATATATGAAATTTATTTAATATTTTAATGAAATAAATTTAGAATAATTTTAGTGTTAAATTTCTACTCATTATTATGATATTAAGTTTTGTTATAAGCTTAAAAACATTAAATCTATTGTAATTAATATTATCTAACATAAAAATTGTATTATGTTAGCTTAATATAGATTTAAGAGTAAAACTCTTTAGAGAAAAAAGACCTTGAAGTAGATTTGCAATCATAGCAACCTTATAATAGAAGGGATGAATAAGAATGATTGAATAATCATTAGTTATTTTTGAAGAAACAATAAGCTTATGTAAGAAGGATATAAGTATTTTTGTTACAGTATATAATTTTTAGATTTTTCTAATAGCAATTGTATTAGAAAAGGAAGTTCAACATCGTTCTCAAATTTATTAATTATTTTTATATGCATACAAGACATTCAAAGCTATTTGAATCTGGTGGTGAGACAGTTAAGAGAAACTTACTAGAATCTTATTCTATGCAAAATCGTAAGCCAAATAGCAATGAAGAATAATAGTTACGTGAATAAGTGGATAGATTAACAAATGAATTAATAATATTGAAGAATAAGGATAAAGCTAAGGTTTCTGTTGATAAGTAAATATAATGTGAAGACAAGAGATGGGAATTATTAAATGAGATAATAAAATAGAAAGATAAATCGATAGAATAATATGAGAAATAGATTCTCAGTTTTAAGAATATGATCCTTTAGTCTAATTAATAGAAAAAGGAATTGCTATTAAAATTAGAGTACTAGGATTCAATCAAAAAAACTTAAATGATAAAGGTTTCTCAAAATATACAAACTGATTTAAATAACAATAAAGTTTAGTAAACATAATAAAATGAGTTCGACAAAGGAATAATTTATGGTATGAAATAAATGGATTCACCAACAACCAAGATCAAGGAATAAATATCGAAATTAGTTCAAACAGATGGTAAGTTCTATTATGAAATTGACATATTGAAATAAGATGAAATATATAAGGAAATTGAATAATATAAATTAATTCTAAAAGACTATGATTTAGAGAACAGGAGATTGAAGGAAACACTTCAATCCAGTAAAGAAAATATTGATAGAGAAACTTAAATAACTGTATAATTAGAAAATAAGAGTGTTCAAGTAGGGGAGGAATTTAGGGATAAGATGGATAAGATGGTTTAAGAGTATTAAATTTCAATTGATAATTAAAAACAATTATAAAAATAATACAATCAATAATAAATAGATTTGAATACTTTAAGAAAATAGTATGATTAATTAGTAAGTGATTACTACTTTATTTAATCAGAAAGTAAAGTAAATGAGAAGAAAATAAAAGAATTAAATGAAGAAATAGAATAATTAAAAAATGAATTATAATTAAAAGATCCAAGTGTAAGTAGTACTGAAACTATGACATCTCCAAAAGATTCTCAAAAAAGTTCAAAGAAAAAAGGAAATAATTAAAAAATAAAAAGTTTTGTTTAATCTAATTATTTTAATCCATAAAATGTAGATGAATTAATCTTATAACAAGAAGAGAATTAAAAATTAGTAATTAAGATATAAGAATTAAGGAGAGAATTAGTAGAGACTTCAAAAAGTTTAAAAGCAATTCAGGAAGAATTAGCAATAAAAGAATTGATATTAATATAGTAAAGTTAAGAATTACTACAGACTTAGACAGAATTAAAGA